GTATTCAGGTATTAAGGCAATAAGTGATTAGATACTGTAAATGGTTAGGTCTTCAATAGCTGCTGTTACCTCGATTACGGGAAGTGTCTAGGTCCCTTTGTCCTTTTAAAAGTGTGGTGATGTGTTTTCTTCTGCTTTTAATTCCATACTTAGTTTTTAACTTCATACCCTTTAAATTTTGAGGTCACTTGAGGCCATCAAAAATTTCCACTGATTTTTAGGTGGTGCAGACAGGAATGATAGAATTGGCTTTTTTCCTCTGTTGCCAGTGTAAACTGAGATAGGAGTGCTGTTGCAAAGCCATAGGGCTTTTCCAGTTTGATTACCAGAACTTTTTAATGAACAGTTCAGCAGGTCTGATGCTGAAAATGCCTTGCTTTTCTGCCAAACTTTATCAAATTTCACATGCAGTTTGACATACTGCAACTTGAATTTTAGCATGTAAAAATGACTAGTTGGGAGCTCAGCAGGTCATTTGCCTGTGCAGGCATGTTAGAATGTGGGACTGCAAGATGTTTTCCAGCAACCGTAGAGCAAATCCTCTCATAAACTGAACTTTGGCAACTCTCCAGCGATGGAAGCTGACTAGTAACCTAGCTGCACTTACTCATGTTTTAGTCTCACACTAACTGTATAGTGACAGTATTTCTTCTTTTAATTTCATCCTTTCATTTTCCATTTTCATGTGTCTGCCATGTTTTACTCTCCTATCCAGAAAATGACGAGGATGCTTTTTGAAATGAGTTTCCTTGCTTCATCACCAGGCTCTGACTCTGTTTGGATGCTAAATTTTCCATACAGGACAGGCAGCCTTTGTCATCTTAGCAACTTGACAGTTACCTGGTGGTCTCCTTCTAGCTTACATTCTTGCTCCTAATGTCCTTTCTGAAGTGTTTACTCATTCAGTTAATTCTGAAGTGTTCTTGAAAGACTTTTGTTTCCACTTTGTTGAGGATGCAAATCTTGCAAGTTCAAGTTAAAATAAATATGACATCTGAAGCATCAGTGCTTCTGTAAGTACTTGAATGTGTTAGACACAAAAGCAATAATTTGTACCATTCCCTTTTTTACATGATTCTGCCAAGCTATCATCAGTCTCAGTAGTAGACGTCCTCTCCCAGACTCCTAGATGTGTAAGCAGTGCCTGGTAACCACGCAGTACCCTCACACATGAACAATGTCAGAATAAGGTAAATCGGGATGATCTAAACATGAATTTAGATCAGGATTTTAAAGCTCTTTTTACACATACTATCTCTTGATGAATTTTATTAATATTCCTTATTTATTCCTTGTGTACAAGACAATTTTCCAGTTTATTGAGTTTACTCATAAGCTTCAAAATACAGTGCTTCTTTTTTGTTTAATAAATGTGATTCTCTGATTCAAGGCGCAACTTATAAGCTTCAGTATTTGCTATAAGTGTGTCTGATAGATATTTAGAGACTTGTGCATTGTTAACGGATAACCATGTTTTTAATCCTGCCTGGAGTATTTGCAATAGGATAAACATCATAACAACTGACATGCAGTGATTTTTAACACAGACCAAATATACGGAGCATCTATGAAGATTTCTCCTACACTTTTGTCCTTTCAAAGACCTTGGTCTGTCATAAACTTGCTTTTATCTAAATTTTCTTTAAAATAGAAGGACAAAATGAGAATATATATGTCCATTCATAAATGTTCTATTCTCAAGCAACAATGCAATCCTTCTTAGATTTGCTAACTAGCTCCACCTTCTGGGGCCTGGACATCCTTACTGGTTGTGAATAGAAATTTTCAGTGAAAACATGCACTAAATTGATTGTTTTAGATAATTATCTGGGGGTATTGTATTCTCTCCTCTCCTGATGCCAAATACAATTCTATTTTATATTATAATTTATCTTTATTTATCCAATAGGGTAAGATTTCCACCAAATTGATGGGTTTTATTGTATTCTACAAAGCAAAGTACATATGAAAGTAAAGCTCTCTATAGAGAGTAGTCACTGCATGGTTTTCTTGGTGAATTTAAGTATTCAGTAGGATTTATTTTTCATGCAATTAGCGTGACTGTCATTCAATACAAAATTGGCCTTGAGAATTCCAAATATTTGAATTCCTTCTTAATGCAGCTGTCATTGACAAAAATTGCTTATACTAGTAATACGATCAAATAAGTCCCATTTTTATCTTTGTAAAGCACTACATTTCAATCATAATCATAGCAAAACAAAAACAACAGACAACTGATCTTGAATCTTTGCAGCACAAGGTACGTGCAAAAATCGTAACAGAAGGTAGTTATCGGTGGTTTAGTGCCAATCTGGAAGGCTGTGTGAAGCAGAATCCACTTACATTTGTTCTGGGTCCAGTATTATTCAATATTTTCACTACGGACTTGGCTTATGAAATATAGATGATGCTTATAAAATTTGCAAATGCTTAAGGCTGGGAGAGGCTTTAAGCACCATGGGAGCAGGATTAGAATGGATGTTGATGAAATGGAACGCTAAAATATTAGGATGCAGTTCAGTAAGGACAAGTATAAAGTTACGTTCCTAAAAAAAGCAGAAATGCATGATGTGGATTGCCTGGTTAAGTGGCAACTCAGTAAAAAAAAGTTCCAAGTGTTACCTGAATTTTGTGGTCATTATATGACCACCTCTTCTATGAAATGAGTTGGTAAAGCTTCTAAGTACTATCCACATAATCTGAGTTGTAAAAGCAGGTTCATGAAGTGTATCTAGAACAACGAATTCTTCTTTTCTCTTGCCCTAGCCGTCAGTGTACTTGGAAGATCCTTGTCTGTGTCTGCATCCTGCAATGCTTTCCCATAAGAGTGGGGCATCTGTCTGTTGGCTGTGCCTTCAGGTCTACTTATTAAATACTTTTTAGAGTGGCTATATATGATCTTTTTCATTATTTGCTCAAGTACGAAGCAGACAAGAAATTATTTTCTTATCACTTACAGATCTGTTTGCTGGTTTAGCATACATTGCCTTTTAATCTCATTCTGTTGCAATTGCTTTCATTGGCATATATTCATTGATTAATTTAGTAAATTACTATAATTTAAGGCTATAAAGGAAAATTTAGATCATGTGATCAACCTAGTCTGAATTCCAGTATGTTGTCTACCTTATTTTAAAATTCAATTAGACTGTGTCTTACAGCAGCCTCCAGCCTTTGGTTGTTCTTTTGCTTTTATTCCCTTTAGTACTCTTTATTTTCTCTTCATAAAGAGCAGAAATCAAGTTTCTGTTCAGTCTTTCTGATAGGCTTAAGAAGTTTAAACCCTAAATCTTGGTGGCTCTCCTTTTCAAGCTCTCTATTTTTCCAGCAGTCCTTAAAATGGATACACCAGATTTTGGCATGCATTGTATCAATACTGTTTTTGTCAGTGACATATAAAATTAACTTTTTGCTGCAGCATGGGACTGCGGATGGCTTATGTTCTGTTTTCTTCATGATGGCTCTAACTTCATAACTGCTCTTTTCCAGGGAATGGTTTTTCAGTCTGTATTTCTTACACTGAAATATGTATGCCTGTATTAAAACACATTTTGTCTCACCATATAGACACTGTTTGCAAAGCAATCCAAGTTGTTCTGACTGCTCTGTCCTTATTCTTATTTCTTCCTTCCTACACCTTAATTATTTCGCAGTTCCTCCTGGCTTTCAAAGTCCTCTCCAGTTGTCTTGGCTACAGTTTTATTCATTTCCATATTTTTCCATAGCATAGCCAAATTAACTTTGCAGCAGACAGCTCTGTGTTCCTGTCTAAAGAACTTCTTTAGTACTAATGAGTCTCTCACTGGCCTGGCTCAGAATGTTACCTGAAACAATGTGCTGTTATCTTCCACCTAATTACAATTTAAGTGGAGCAGGTTTTGATTATCAATAATACTTAATTACACTAATCTACACAAAAACAAAACAAAACACCTTAGTGATGGGCACTACAAAGTCATTTGCACTTCCTATTTTTGTATAGATTTTTCTGGAATGTCAATTTCTGTCTTTTCAAACTATAACAATATAACTGAGATGTAGATTCTGAAGCAGGGTATTTTTTTTTATTTGCTCAGTGCAGGGGGGTGTAGGCAAAACTATAGGTAACTACAACGCAGGTCTGTTTTTATTAAATCTCGAAAAATTCAGGAACAGCTTGGGTAATTGGTCAAGTCTGAGTAAGCTATTCTGTTTTTTCTCCATTACTCATTATCACTTTCTTTAATTTCTAATGTATTAAGTAGTAGTGTTTTTTTCATGTGTTTCATCAGCTTGTTTTTTCTGATACTTCTCAAATACATTTTAACAGCAAAGCATTATAGAGTAGTTCAAAATCTGTCTGCTCACAGTAACTCAAACAATAATGAGTTCAGTATGTCTATTTAAAGAGAAGAATACAGAGATAAGCTAGAAAGAAATGAGATTTGAAGGTGTTAGCATCTTTCAAGCCTATACATTAAACAGATAATATCCTTCCCAGATATCTATTTGTTCTTCTATTTTGCCTCCCAGCATGCATTTTTTTCTTAAATACAGGATCTCCCTGTTTTTCAGTGGTGGTTTTTTTTTTTTTTTTTTTTTTTTGACTGCATTTCATTTGCTTAGATACAAGTTTGTCAAAGAACAAGGTTGGAAAGAATGGGAGATTCTTCATCATATTCATCTTGTGCTAAACGAGTTTTTGCTTGTATATCTAAGTTTGGTGTACAACACTTTAATGCAAGCTTTACCGACAAGTTAGGTCTGTTAAAAAGTTGTTTCAGGATACAGTTGAATTCAGGCCAGGGATATAACCCCAGTCTTGGTGCTAAGCTAGAATCCTTCCTTTAAGCATAACCTCTAGCGATGTTTGCAACACCACAATGGTTAGGATAGAGCTTCAGCGTTGGCTAAAGCTCTAGGACAAGCTAGACAGCCACTGCAGGCCTCTCTCCAGTCCAAAAAAGATTTTTACTACAACTTTTCTGCTTTGGAGCTAATGATCTGTCTTGTTCTAGGTGACTGGTATGAACAACTTTATCCCTTGGTGATTACGCTGAAGGACTGCATGGGAGAGGTGGTGACCAGAGCGAAGCAGTCAATGGCGTTTGTCCTGCTCCAGGAACTTGCCTGTGGCTTGCCACAATGTTTGATGCTGACGCTGAGGAGAGACATTGTCTTCAGTCAAGCAGTAGGTTGTCTTATGTCACTTATATCCTACTGTAATGGCTATTTTGATGATGCTACTATAATTGACCATACTATGTCTCTGTGTGTGTTGTTCTTTTGCCTGGCTTATCACAACTTTTTCATGTATTTTCCATTACATCCACCTAAATATTTTATAATGTGATAAAGAAAGGAATAGTAAATGGAAATCCATAGTAACTGAATCACCGAGTCACAGAAATAGGTCTGCTGTGAACTGGAAGACATTATCTAACCTCTCCGCTTCATCCAAAGAAGAGATCTGTAAAGCTATTTTTCGTAGTCTTCCCAGGTTCCTACAGGTTCTTACGCCAGTATTCTCACGTGGAAGTAAGGACCTCAAATCTAGCCTGAACATTCCTTGCTGCTATTGAAGCTAGATATTTTTTCTCCTGGTCACTGTGAAAATGAATAACAGACCATTGGTTTTCCATTTGTATCAGTATTTTATGTGTTTAAAGACTGTCAGCCTGCCTCTTCTCAGACTAGTCTTCTCTTGGTAAATAACTCAAGTTCTTTTGATCCTCTCCTTTAGATGTTGTTTTCCAGATAGACTGATTATTTAGAGAGAATCTAATTTCTTCCTCAAGTTACATGTTTTTCCCAACATAATTAAGGAGTTAGGGAACGATGGCCAAGGAGATATGTTCACATTAGGTGTCTAACTGCTTTGAAATCCATCATAATTCGTATCCTTGCATGTTTATAGTCTGCTAAGAGAGGTCCTGGTCGTGTTTATTCCATTGTAAATAACACAATCCCGTAAAACAAGTGAAATTTCTGTAATATAAAATAAGGGAGTATTTGGGGTAAAAAGCCTCGGAAATACTATTGTGAAATCATGTATAGTGTCACTACATAGAAATATCCAAGTTATTTTCACAGATATATAAATATTACTTCTGTAGTGTACAATGATAGCAAGCCTTGTTTTCACTGTGATTGCAAAACATATGTAATTCCATTTTTTTTTGTCTTTATAGCTTGCTGGATTGGTCTGTGGGTTTATAATCAAATTGCACACGAGTTTACACGATCAAGGATTTTTACAACAGCTTCATACTGTTGGGTTACTTGTGCAATATGAAGGACTCCTTAGCACATATAGTAAGTATTGTTCTTGGACAGAACTCTTTATGCATACACACCAGACACTTACCCAGGAGTTTTAGATTTTAACTCGTGTTCCACTCCAGGAATTTGCCTTACTGAATCAGAAAATATTACCCTTAGGAGACAGTAGGCTTCTATATAATAGCACAATTGACAGTGTTGCCAACTCTACATCACAAATTACTTAGATTATTTTCAATCTCTCAGGGAACGCTAGCTGCTAATTCTTCTGCACAGAGTGCGGATCTACATTGCCTTAAATACAGGAGACAGGTTTCATCAATGCAGCTAGGGAAACTTTTGATTTTAATACGTCCTGTTTTCATTTGTATAGGCACTTGGTCTGACCCAAAAAAGCAGGTTTATAAAGCTAACCCAAACAGCACAGTTACTGACCCTCTCTCTTGTGCCCTGACCATGTCAGTACTGGTGAATATACCCTGAAAATTGTTTAACGCCTGACTTGTTATAAGTGCCATCATTTTATATCTATTTTTGAGGACATTTGGAGAGAGTAATTGCAGTTCGCTTCAAAAAGCTTTGAACTAGATGTGTTGGAATCCTTCCCCAAAATAGAGATTTTGAAAAAAGTAGCGGGATTTAGCATTTGTGCAGTTCTTTGCTGCATAGGCAATTACACCTCCTCATTTGGAGATTGCTGTCAGACTCCTTTCTGCATGATGGTCACTGTTACTCTTAAAACCTTTGTCCTCCACCAGCAGGACAGTCTTTAAAAAACACTTTCAAAATAGAATAACGTCAGAAAGGCCATTTTTCTCTATGCACACGTAAAGCAGACTGATTTTCAGAGGTGCTTAATACTCAGTTATCTAGGCCACAGAGAATTGTCAGCAGTTCTAAAAATCAGACTGCTTTTATGTAGGTTACTCTAATGTGGATTTAGGGCTGTGATTTTGAGATGCACAGACTGGGAAATACAATCCACATATTGCCTTACTATAACCTATTCAGTGACTGATGTCTTCTCTGTTAATAACCCTGTAATCTTTCCATATAGGTGAAGAAGCGGGGATGCTAGAAGACATGGCTGTGGGAATTTCAGATTTGCAGAAAGTGATGTTTAAAGTCATTGAAGCCAAATCAGAAGATTTTTTGCCTATTATAACTGGAAGGCGGTAAGAACTTTGTTTCCTGAAGCACATGGCAGGTAGCTTTAACCGTTAGCACATGAAAATGCAGATAATGTTTTGTTTTTTTTTTTTTATTGCTGAGTTCTATTATATGGAAAGTGCAGTAGTTTGCCTCTTCATGAGTCAAATGGACATGTAATCGAGGTAGTAGGGATTTGTAAAGCTAATAGTAGTATGGGCTCTAGGTTACTTTCCTGATTAGCACCTTAAAGTTCCAAATATATAACACAAATTAATCACAAGTGCCTGAATTGCATGTTGAGTTTCTGTTGCATTTTTTGTATCCAGACACTGAATCAAAGAGAAGTGGCAAGGTTAAATATTTACAAAAGTGTATTCTAACTGAACATACCTTGTTTTTGAGGCTACCAAAACTTATTTTTCAGTGTGAGAAATGAAATTATGTTTCTAAGAGCTAAAGCTTGATTGTCGTGAGATGGAAACTGAAAGACTCTGGTGCCAATTTTATTTGCTGAAGATCATTTAGAACGTATGCAACATCAGAAGTCCTTACACGAAGCCACTGATACATTATGCATCATGCATCTCACATAAGCAATGCTGAATATCAGGGCATAAACTGAAATAGTTCATTAATTGTGGCTACAAGAGGGTTAAAAAGATTGTTACACATGAGGAATGAGGTTTTCGTCTTCATTATTATTCTAGTCTGAAGCCCCAAATGTTTTTACTTTTGCAGAAATCACTTCCTTAATAGTATCATTATTCTTGAGTTGACTGTAAATTAAATTCAGCTAAAAGCAGCAACTTTTAAAAAAGATATTTTTTCTCTGAAGGGGGCTTTCACAACTGATTTACTTAATTATTCTGGATGATTCACTTTCATCCTATGGGCCTTCCGAGAAGGGATTGAAATAAATAGCAGGAAGGCCAGAGTATGATAGGCAACACATCGGGAGTAATTAAGAATAATTATGGTGTGTAGATAAAACAGAAGAAATACATCCTTTGTAAATCACACCAGTCAAACATCTTGAAAAATCTAGCAGCTACATTTACTGGCTTGCTGCCATTACTGCGGTACACTGAACTGTCACACCAGGAGGTCCTGCTTTTGAAAGACTTGAGCTTTAAGCTGCCTCAGGCATTCTGGATTGATAGAGTAGTCATTCTTTAGGAAGAAGAGTTACTGCCTATGATTGCTGTACTGTACTTACTGGCAGGTGTTCACTTGATGGAATTGGTATCAGACTAAAAAAAAAAAAAGTTTTAAGACTTGTTTGGGGCCCTATTATTTTAGAGCTGTGATGAGACAGCATTGAAAGTCGTACATAAAAAGAGGAGATAGTGGAAAAAACAAGTATTTTCTAATGGACGTTTAGAGAATCCACAATTTTTGGATTGTTTCAAATCTAAAATTAGACTTAAATACTGTAGAAATGCAAGACAGAACATAAAACTACCAGTTCTTAATTTGCAGAGACAGAGTATTCACTTGCAATTGTTTTTTGAGGGAAGTGCTGAAGACTGAGATTCTACATATGAAAACAAATCAATCCAAAGAGTGTGGTGTTGAGTAGTAATGTGCTGACCTGCCGATGTGGATGGCTGACCCTGGCCATCCAGGTGGAATTGAGTTTAGGCACTTGAGTTCTTATATTATGGGCAAAAGTAGTTAACACTTACATTGTATTAAAGAATTTTATAAAAGTATTGGGTTGTGTGCATGAACTTCTGAGTCATCACAGGGTTTGATTTAAAAAAAAAAATGCTTTCAACTAAGTGCATGATCAGACCGGGACTTGCAGCCACATTGAAGTAGTCTAAATAGTTGTCACTTTCCTGGATAAAGGACCCTGCTGAAATGCGATGACTTTGTGGTTTTTTTTTTTTTTCTTGTTGCAAAGCAAAGATAGTGTAAATGACCTGTTCTGTGTTTATGGACAGAGCTAAGTGTGCACTTGGAGGTGACCGCAAATAGCTACAGAGTCCATGGCCCTCACCTGTGTGTGGGGGTAGTTGTTAGAAGCTTTCTTACAGGTCTGCAAGTGGTTTTCTGTCCTCATATATGATGATAACAAATATTTGAGAACAAGGCAAATAAAGTTAGACAGAATTACTCTTAAACAGTCATGTTTTACTGAAACAAACAAATGTGGAACACCTAAACTTATATAATTAGTCCTGAAATAGGTGATTTATTTTTTACCCTCTTAAGCACACTGGGTTTCTCTACTCCTTTCCCTTCCCCCCCCCCCCCGTGGAGATCTTTAAATGTTAAAAAAATCATGTAACAATTCCTTGGTTAGCCACCTTCTCATTGCTTATTGTAGTGGCCTTATTATCCATCACATGCCAAAACTGCCTAGTATCTCTGCACTGAAACTAGCCATAAGAGAGAGATACTAAGTGACAATAAGATTTATTATTTTATTACTGTTTCTTACTGCAGTAGAATCATAAGACCTGTAAAATGTTGGGAAATTAATGTCAAACAAGTCCTCCAGTTTTCAGTACTGTGATTTTTTTTTTTTTTTCCTACCCTACCTGACTAAGGAACCGTTCCCAGACTTCCAGACTTGCCAGACAGCTCCCTGTCACAGTCTAGTAGTGTTCTTCTTAAGTGATGAGAACTGGGTTGTTCTTATTGCACAACTGGTGAAAGATTTTTAAAGCCTACCAAGGATTATATTTGGGACTTGTGTAAATTTTAATTAAAAAAAAAAAAAAAAAGTAAGGGGAGGGTAGGCTCTTAAATGCTACAGACGTTAATTTGTCGTGCCTAAAGGTCAACATTTTTCGATGTTCTTTGACACGTTGAAAGATTTGTAGTGATTTTTGGAAGTGTGAAATGTTGCAATGCAATGACTTAATGACGTTTTTGGTTAAGTAACGTACATTCTTTAAATTAGACTAAACCAACATCTCTTCTCAACCTCCTGAAAGTGTTCTATGACAGGAAAACGTTCTGGTAGCACTTCACAGCAGCTAGGAATTACAAGTATGCGGGCTGGGAATGAATATTGCTATACAAAGATCATTTTCACAGAGTTCTTTACTGTTATCCTTGCTAACTCTGTGTTTCCTTCACATGGATTAATTAATTAAATAAAACTCAAACCAAATACAGTTCTACTCCTCACGTAAGTTTGTTGTTGTTTCCCTCATCTGAGACGCATATCCTCCATTCGTAACTTGATAACCGCCCCAGTTGGAAGCATCTGGCATTTACTAAAAGACTACACGCTAGTTCTAGCCCATACCAAAGCACATGAGAACAGCCTAGCCACAAGCAATTACACTTCAGTCACAAGTCTGTACTTGGACCCATTTTATTTTGTTGAGCAGGACAGGGGGTTCAAACACAACCTCTACCTTTCCTAAGCTGAAGCACCGGTTCTAAGATAGGTTCACTCATCCATCCAACTTGCTGAGGATGTCAGAGCCAATCCTCATTGAAGAGTCATTGAAGAAACTGCCATTGTTCTTCAGGGTTTTCTGCCTTTTCTTCCAAAAGTTCTACACATGGGTAGTCAAGATTATATTTTAATTCTTTAGCAAACACATGATAGATTGAAATAAGAGTTTGAGGGATTTTGTGATTATTTTACTACATGCAAAGCAGTATTATTAAAAAAGATAACTAGATAAAGTCAAAAGAACAAACCCCATCCTTTTTCATCTTAAGTTTGCATGCACACATTGTGTGACGTCATAGGCCTAGTTTTCACAGGTAGGATATAGATCCTCCTTCCCTACCACCTCTGTAATAATTTTCCTTCTTGATGCTGTACCGAAGTGTGCTCTGCAGGAGAGAAAGTTTAAGTTTTTGGTATCAGTTGGCCCTCTTCAAATGATTAAAATTTCAAAGTCTGCAAGACAAATGGATCTGCTCCTGGTCTGTTCTTTTTTACTACACCAATTGCTCTAATAATAGAAAGAAAGCTAGCAGCATGCTATTGTTTCTATCATGTTAGTTCAGACATCAATTGTCAACACCGGTAGAATTCAACTTGAGGGTTCCACAATAAAGGACACGATCAGAAACTGGACTGGCAGCCAAAGTAGCATATTTTTAGTAAAGTCAAACAAAACACAACATGAAAACAATACTGTTACATCTCATCCGTTCTTCTAAAATAGGATCCATGTTTGGGTAATGAGCCTTTAATTATTATCTTCACAGAGTCTATTTTGTAATTCGTGATGCTTTCTATCCCTAAGGAAAAAAATCCAGACACTGAAGGAGATGGATATTTTGGTTTGGGCGTTTCTGAAGAGTTTGCTCCATACAGGCCATATTACATTTAGACTGGATACAGGGTTCAAGTTGTGGCTTCTGAAATGAAGTTGTTTTTGTAATTCAGTGAGATGCGCTTTAACAGTTGAGGTGTTCACACTGATACTGTGGTAGCAAAGACTTTTCTGCTGATTCCAGTTTTAGTCCTATTTTCACTTCAGTAAAGAAGTCAGTATGAAGAGCATATAATCATATATACCTTTTATTTCCCTATAAGTTTGTGCTCTTAAAACAAGTCAGCTGAGTCTTCACATTTTGTGCTTTAACACAAGGGGAAAAAAGGAAACTGATTGATATGTCTAAATGTTCTCTGTAACTTAGGAAGGTTATAATTTCAAGCAAACCAATCAATATTCCTATCCTTATTCTTCCTTTTATTTTTCCTAGTGAACATTATGTTATAGAGGTCCAGCTTCCAGCAAAGATGTTTGAGCTGCTGCCACAAGAGATTAAAGAAGGAAAGCTACTTCGCATGTATCCAGTACTTTTTAATGTTGGAATCAATGAACAGCAAACACTTGCAGAGAGGTAAGAAGACACTTTCAGAAAAATGTTTCATTTTCTATCTGAGTATGCTGTGTTAGTACAAGATATCTCTCATAGGATTACAAAGAAATCTTTTCGTTATTTGCTCTTGGACCATTCCAGCTTGACTTTGTGTGTATTTTCAAAAGTATTAAAGGAAATAAGTACAAGCTATGGAGCAATGCAAAATAATGAAAAAGGCCAAGTAAAGATAAGGCTGTATGCGGGACTTAGTCTGTTTATTTCACACAGTCAACACCAAGTTTTCCTTGGATACAGATAGGGAATGGATTTCTAGTTCACACGGATAAATCTTAATGTGCAGTACTTTTGGCCTTTTCAAACAGAAGTTTGAAAATTCCAACTTCTTACCATTTTAGAGGTGGAATTGAACAAATTGTAAACCAGAAAGAGAACATTTTTCTCAACTTCTTAGGTTTGATTTTTTTTTTTTTAGACAAGGTTGAGGGGTGTTAGTTATTTGCATAGAATATGTTAGTAATATGCCTCTGGAAACATGAAGGCTGATGTTAAAATTGTAATATGCTAATACTAGTCCTCTGAAGGGATTGCTGGAAACTATTTTTTCAGTGCAATGTTAGTCAAAGTTTCACCAACCTACTAATTTTCTGTCCCAAGAGAAGGTTAGCTGTTGGTCATGTTAAATTACAAAGCTTGTACAATGCTAAAATTGCAAGGTGGACATCATTTTTTCTGATTCTACCTTCTCCCCAGAGAAAAGAAAGCCATACATGAAAAATTAATGAATTATCTTTCAAGCAAACCAAGTTGGTTTATTCCATGCAGAAACATCTTATGCTTGTGGTTACAGGTGTTAACATTAGTCTTTGTTGAAAATATTGCTCAACTTGATTGCGTGCTTGTCTTTGAGATTGGAAACACTGCACATGATTTTTGTTAAAAGGTGTTTTAGTGGGAGAATGAACATAAAAATAGAAATTGTTTTGTGATAAATTGTTACAAGATGGTACTTAATTAGCTGTTAACATCTACTTTCAATAAAGCACAGTTGATAATGTGCCTGTTTTAAAAGAAATACTCGTGTGACAGTGCAACAATGGCTCTTGAGGGAAGTAGCTGAATCATTTCCTTTTTTGCCCTGTAAAATATTTGATTACTTTCCATGTGATATAAGAGTACGTTTGGAATCTTCTGATTTGCATCCCCTTGTGTCTGCCTGAATTTCTCATTTACCTATCCATGCCCCTCTTTTTTTAGTTTTGCACCATTTTCTACTCTGTCTTCCTTTTCTTTGTTTCAATGTTATTCTAAAGATGAGGCACAGAAACTTGGTCCTAACTGCCTAAGGAACACTCGTGTCCTTACTTCTGTATCAATCAGAGTATAAGTAGCAGGAGACTTTTTTTAACCTACATGTGAAACTTCACTGTTGTGGAAATTTTGGTCTCAGAAAGAAAGGTACTTTTCCATATAGCAATAGTCAGTTTGTGGATAACTGTAATGGCATCCTGATGCAGCCTGGGTTTTCTGTGAGGAACAGGTTATTGGGAACATGGGCAGTGTGTTCCCAGCAGACTAAATTGCTGCAAGAAACCCCAGAACACTTGCCTGACACAGCTGCAGCACTGTAGTGTGACCAGTGATGTCTGTGTGCTGCAGCAAGCTTAAATGCAGGCAGCTGAAGTGAGCTAGCCTGTGGTTTCACAGAATCACAGAATTGTCTAGGTTGGAAGAGACCTCAAGATCATTGAGTCCAACCTCTGACCTAACACTAATAAGCCCTCCACTAAACCATATCGCTAAGCTCTACATCTAAACGTCTTTTAAAGACCTCCAGGGATGGTGACTCCACCACTTCCCTGGGCACCCCATTCCAATGCCTCACAACCCTCTCAGTAAAGAAGTTCTTCCTAATATCCAACCTAAAACTCCCCTGGTGCAACTTTAGCCCATTCCCCCTCGTCCTGTCACCAGGCACATGGGAGAATAGACCAACCCCCACCTTGCTACACAGAGGTGTAGCATAGAGGCAGCTAGCCTCTAAAGGCAGCTAGCACAGAGCTGCCTTTAATGGCGGCTCTGTGAAGCTTAATAGAGAAATCACTGTTCAAAAGCAGGAAAAGAGTTTTCTCGTTAATTTCAGACACAAGAAAATAAAATAACTTACAGTTCAGGAGCAGCATAGGGCTGAGAAGGTCTGGAGGATTAATCAATTTGACTATTTATAGCAAATAGTCTCAGACCAGAGTACTCCAGTGGCAGAAATTAGTCTTTCAGGAGGTTTTTCTCCTTACGCTTACCTCTATTCCATCTTGTGTGGCTTCAATATCATCTAATTTCTAAGTAGAAATTACTGCTACTGCTTTTGCTCAGGTATATTAAGAGATTTAGGAGTTGTACTCTTCCCATTTGGAATTCCCACAGAGAGCCCTTGCATTTATTCAGGATTCATGAAGAGAATCAGAACTTGTGCTTTATTGAATGATTGTATGTAAATGGATTACTTTGTCCATATGTTTTGGGAAGACTTACCAATGGCTGTTTACCTCTTTCCCAAATATTAGTTCCAAAGCACATGGGAGATTAGCAGCTGTACATTTGACAAAATTTAATACATTCAACACTAGAAAAAAAAATCAAATTCTTTATACAAATAACGCATTCTGAAGGATGATTTGGCTTTATGTTTTAGACTTTTCATTATTTTACTGTGATTTTATAGGTTTGGAGATACCACTTTGCAAGAAAACATTAACCAGGAAAACCTAGAACTTCTAAAAGAATATTACAACTTGTTTACGGAAAAAATGCCTCCTGACTGTGAGTATAAGATAATACAATATCCAAATGGCTTTTAAAAGGTTTAATAGATGAAAGATGATAAGAAAGTAGTATTAGCGCAATGTTAATGTGCTGTGTTTAGATGTAGGCCTCAATCCCATAATTTGTTCCATCAAGTTAAGCACTTTGGGCCTGTTCAGATCCCTCCTGAAGTCAGCAGTGATTGCAGGCCCAAGGCCATAGCAAAAACAACAGAGAGGTTGAAATGCAGTAATGATGAACCAAACAGCGCTCTTAAATTATTAATACGATCTACTCTTTAATAATTCAAGTGGAGGACACTCCATAGTTACTATATTTGTACAGAAGTACTCGATGGGAATTTTCATCAGTTTCACTCATTGCCTCTACTCTTCTTCCCAAGTATGTGTTAAGGTATGGCAGACTGCTTCCATCTGTATCTACAGATTTCTCAGTAATGAGCCACATCATAATGTCACTGATATTAATAGCATGGTTCTATTAGAATGGGTCCTACATTCAAATTTTATAGAAATGTGTCATCATAAACATAGTGTTCTGTTACTATGCTGAAAAGGACCATTTGTATCAATATAAACCTGTTAAAGCAGTCTTAATGCCTAAATTATATTCCTAAAACTTACAAATTGTGCAGGCTGACTTAAAATGGCTTGGATTTAGGTCTCTGCCTGTTCCACTTGGGTAACCATGTTTGAACCTAAAGAACCTGTTGCCCTACAGGACGTGTTTGTAATTCCTCATGGTGGATACTGCTGGTTAAAATCCTATGCAAAGCTTGTGCCCTCTTATAGAACAGCTTCTGTTGTGTTTTTTTTTGTTTTTTTTTGTTTGTTTGTTTGTTTTTCTAATTATCCATTACATATATGTACTTGTAGTTTTATCTGATGTGCCACTCTATATACATGTGTGCTTATCTTCTGTATCAGCAAAAATTCAATTTTTTAATGATTCCAGCAGAAGTGAAAGCTCTTTTCCTGAGGGCTAAGCAGTATGACCACCAGTCCACTCACATCTCTAATATTATGAAAATTTCTACAGAAAATCTCCTACAATAAGTTAGCAATTAGTTCCTGCCAAGAAAGCTTCCTGAAAAACTAACCTAATTTGGAATTAGGTCTAAGGTAGATCTGTGACTTTGTAAGCAGATCTTATTACATAAAAGTAAAATTTGCATGCATACAGTATTTGCTCCTTTTCAATGACAGGAACCAACCTTGTAGTGCCTTCTTCTAGAAGAATTATTAGTGTGCTGCACAGTCTTCCTGGACTTCTTCCAGACTGTACAGAGTTGCAAGAACCATGCTTGTCTAACTGATCATGTCTATTCTGGTTATTATTCCCTTGCATTTTCTCTACCTCTGAGAACTGAGTCTGGTTTTTGTCCAAATTTTTACATAACATGAAGTACCTTCTGGTTCCACTGCACTTCCCGGTTGCTCTGTGCCATTATATGATATCACTCTTTTGGCTTGGAGGAATGTGTGTTTTAAACCAGCCCTCTCCTGCACCTACAGTATCCCCATACCTCCTTCCGGTGATTTTTTTTTCTTTTTTGGGGTAGGGGTGTTTTTTAAAAAGCAGGGTGAAGGGTTGGGGGGGGGGGGGAAGAGGGGTGTAGAGGGGCAGGAGTACACATTCTCCAAGGCGTTCTGCCAGAGGAGGATTCCCCTTTAGGAAGATAAACCCCCATCCAAGCCAGCAGCAGCCCTGATTTTGTAGCCATGTGAGAGCCATTCAGTATTGATGACTCCTTGATGGCTTTGTTACACCTTTCCAGATAGTTTCCTATCGTGCCAAATCTGTGCTACAAAATAAATGCAAGACCCATGTCACAAAGCTGTTAGCTACAAATAGAGCTCATGAACCCAGACAGAATTTGAGGACTGGTAGCCCTGTTGGCCAGGCTGTTGCATCCACCACACTTCTATTGATTAGTTAATGATAGTAAGAATGCAGACATAGGATGATGGTTCTTTAGTAGCACATGTAATTGAAAAGATGCCTTAGTTTACTCATTTGAGCAGCTGAAAGCATAACAAGGTAAAGCTGTGGCACAATTGATACACAATATTGCAAGTTTGATACCTAGCACCAACAGCAACATCACTGTTTAAAGATAGTATCCGATGTGAGAAGAGAGATGCATACAAGGTTTTGAAATCCTGAAAGCAAATAAAGGGTTTTCTTCCTTAGCATCATAATGCATGTAGTAGTGCATGTATATTTATATATTTCAGTACACAGTCTATGAGTCTGTTTCATACTTCAAGGCTTCTCCACTTTATAATCTATGAGAATGATTTGACAGTTTAATACTGCTTTGTGGTACAAAGAATTTAAGCTATCACATCCAGTCAAGATACAACTCATTTGGCAATACTGTAAATTAGGATAATCTTGCTTTATCTGTGGTGAAGTCATCTCTCTGAGATGATCAATTTTATGCTGTGAATCAAAGGAAAGCTACTTTGAGGCAACAAAATGTTTATCTAGTGATATATTCTCATAATCTGGAAGCATCTTTTTAGAGTACTCTTCATATGCTGTATGTTTTCAAGGAACAGATGCAGGATAAGTATAATAGTCACAGAAGTTCTGATGTATTTTTATATGTTCTGCATATAATTCTATGGTCAGGAATTGTAATGCTCAGATCAAACAATCATCAGTAAAATTATTGCAAGCCTGGTTTTAATGTATCTTTCCTGTATAGTGTTTTTGTTTGTTTGAGTTTTGGTGCTGTTTCATTTATCAGTGTGGACAGTATGTGTAGCACAACTTAAACAATTTTAGAATGCTTTTTTTTTTTCAATTACTTCTCACTATAAATTATGAAAAAGAAAAACTGGGATTCATTAGAGATGAAAGTTAAAAAGCCTGTTGATAGAAGAGAGATCACTACAGCTTTGATCAGATTGGGAGAGTGGATTTTGACCTGAATTATAGTAGTGGCATCATTTTTACTCCCTGTAACTGCATATAAATCATAGGGGTTTTGTTTTGCTTTTTTCCCCTTAAATGGCACATTCTGCTTTTTCTAGAGTAGGGGATGTCAATGTAATTGCAGAAAAAGACTGGTTTAATAGATTTGGTTTAATTTTGTTTCAATTGATTCTAAGACTTATTTTGGTGATACTACTACTGATTTTTTTTTTTCTCTTTCCCTAACATAAAAACAAATCATTTAGAAAAATAGATTTTGGTTGTTTTCAAAACTACTAAAGATAAAGGTAATACCTAAAACAAAACCCTTCTATATATACACAACACAGAAGAGCAAATTAAATTGTTTACTATTGAATTCCCTCTAGGTGTGTATGATTAACAAAACGTCATCCTATTTGGCACAACTAGGGAAAGTAGGTAAAATTTCATTTTTTAGGTAAACCTTGAAATTACTTCGTACTTCAAAATGAAATTCTTATTTCATTGCAGACTGAGCAATATCATTTGTTAGATTTATGAGGGTGTTAAGTCCTGTTTAACACCTGTAAATGTAGGTTATATTAGTAACTAAAGCATCATTTTAAAATAAAAATGAGATGCATTCTTTTGAAAACAAAAGCAAAATATTTTCACCTCAAAATAAATAAATACATTTTTAAAAAGCATCAAAGCTGCTCTAAATATACTCAGTTATTTCTCTATCCATTTCCAATGGATTTCTGTAATAGTTGATGAACAGAACTACAACAAAGATATGAACGTTTTCACCTTCCATTTTTAAGATGAAAGTTGAAGACATTTTAATTTTCCAAGGTGAAGCCCTTAGGGAGGACAACCCCATACTTAGAAGTAAGATTTGTTTATTCTCTGAATATTTTGCCAGTGCTTTCCATCCTGCATTCCCAAATGAGGCTGTAAATCATATACCTCTTCTTTAATAAGCACTTTCTTCAGTCAGCACAACACTATCATGAACCTTACCATGATGATCAACCCTACCATTCTTTTTCTTTAGGCCTCCCGCATTTTCAAGAACAAAATGATTTAAAGGGATTATTAGAAAATCTTCATCAAAATATCCAGGCCAAGAGGAGAAAGAATGTAGAAATCATGTGGCTGGCTGCAACGGTAAGATCTTTAGTTTCAAATACATTCACATGATGTATTAATTTTTGCATGCTTTCTGATGTAGTAAATGCAATCAATTTCAAGGATTTGACTGGAAAACTCAATTATTCAAGTAGGTATGCTGAAATGGTGCTCTAACCCTTCTGTTCTGTTGGCTTCTTATCCCACTCCTGAATATCTCTCTTCTTCCTACATTTACTGGTAGACCTAGCCAGAATTGGAAAAGAGAGGTGGTCTTGGTCACTGTGATTTAACCATCATAGAGTCATTTAGGTTGGAAAAGACCTTTAAGTTCATCAAGTCCAACCATTAACCTAGCGCTGCCAAATCTACCACTAAACCATGTCCCTCAGCACTGCATCCACACATCTTTTGAGTACTCCAGAGATGGGTGACTCAACTACTTCCCTGGGCAACCTGTTCCAATGCCTCACAACCCCAGGGCCTTTTCTTGAGAGATTCATTCATCTCCTATATGGGCAAGCAGAATCTCTTTCCTGGATGGTTGTGTATAGCTGTAAATATATCACCTCATATGAGCTATACAGTGTTCAGTTATGGTATCTAACTTTTTTTGTGTAAAATCATGTCTATAATAACCAAGGTTTACATTATTTAATAAACATTGCTTTTATTCTTTAGTGTCAGAAAGCCCTGAAGTATGATGCAGAATACGGTTCTTAAATATATATATCAATAAAACTGCTTTTATCATTAGATTCCCCTTCTCCCCAATTCTGTGATTTTGCACATATATGTTAAAAACAAGCAAACAAACCCGAACAGATACATATAAAGACATCAGGCTTTTCAGGAGTCTGAGATTTAAGTAGGTAATTGTTTTAGGTTTAGAAAAGTACCCTTGATGGCCCTGCCCATTTGTACTAGCAGAGTCTTGAGCCTTTGATGTCCACTGAAAGTGAAAAATAAAATCATGTGATTTGGGGAACTTTCAAATGCATGTATCCTTCAAGGGAAGTAACTGTTTGATGCAAGTGTCATATATTATATCATTATATTACATAATATTTTGAATGACTTTTCATTAACAGTAGGAATACGACAATATTAATTATGTCTATATTGGTAACATGTATAATTTTTTATATTGCTAATAAATTTTTTCTTTGGGTTAATATTATCACACGCTATTGTAGTATAAATCCATTGTGCATAAAAATGTAAGCTTTTTTTTTTTTGCAGTGTCTATTTTGCAATTACTGTGAAATGTTGCTTTGCAAAGAAGTAAAAGATAAATAGTCTGGGATAGTATAAACTGAGCTACAAAGCATATGATAGAATTTACTTAATCTCTGTATATAGAAAGTCATCTTCTATGATCTATTCAGGATTTCCTGAAAGTAATTTCACGGGTGAAGAACATGGTTTGGACATAAGTGCTTCAAGTTTTTCCTTCCCTGTATTGTATTTCTCTTACATTACTTTACATAACTTTCATAACTTTTTGAGAAGGGTATTTCTGAACCTGCTGATATACACACTGTTATACTATATTAGATTTATACGTTGGAAAGACAGATTTCCAGCTGTAAGGATACCACTGTTATAGTATATGAGATGTGAGTTTCTACATGGATTTGTATATGTGTCTGCACCTGCATGTAGTCTGGTGAGAACACATCTGCATTAAAAAAAAAAATCACAAAAAGATATCACAAACATTCCTTATCCAAAATATAATGAGACAGAGATTTAAATGTATATTTTGATTTTCTAAGCTAGACCTGTTTTCTTCTCTATGTCAGGAGAACTGAGCATATTGATTTACCCTTTTTTAGTTTTCATTGTTTTACAATTTTTATCATCCCCTTCTTAAATTTAATCACAGTGATAATAATTTAAATCTGTGCTCATTGGGAACATGAATAAAAATATCTAATAATAAAGCTTATTAATGAAAAACAGACATTTCCTATATCCCCAATATGATGAAGTGAGCAAAAGCGAGGATAAAATTCGATCAGGACACATACCGTAAGCTGTGTGTTCTGATATTATGGTATTACCGTAGATTGTTGTATTGTACCTTATTAGATTTCTTGAGCATCTGATCACTGTTTGCCCATTTTAATTATTTATTTTAACTGCTGCTGCTTAGTGAACTGAATTATTCTGAGGACTTATCTGTGCTGGACTATCATGTTGACCTAGATTGCTCTTTAAATCAGAAGCTAAGGATTTTTTTATCTGCTTATTTAATTTAATGGATTGTTTTCTGCTTAATCCACTTTAAAATGATTGAGCCATTTGGATTGAATTTATATGCAAAATAAGCCCTCCAGATTGCAGTTATGGCCATTTGTTTGTTGTGCCTAGAGTGTTTCTCAGTTCAAAACCGACTCTGTCTCCAGCACTTCAGTTGAGTGCTGTCAGCCCAGATTTGGGGTTTAGTCTCCCCTACTTGAACCAAAGGCTGTCATCCATCCAGAATGGTTACCTGTTTTTTGCGTAGGACTCATTTGATTCAAGTAGCTGTGGTGACTCATGGACTTGAAAAGACGTGAGTGTGAAGAGAATCAATGTCTTCAACTAAGCAGTTAACTCTTTGCACAGCATTATTAGCCCTACTTGACGCTTTCTTAAAAAAATAAATAAATAAATAAATAAATTAAAAAAGTCTTATAGTACATTATTTAAATTGCAATACAAATTCCCATTTTTTTAAGCAAATATGTTTTATAGTTTTGAATTGTAGAAAGAAAACGCAGATTCTCCTTTACTAGCATATACTTCTTTGGTTTCAAAGTTAGATTCAGTTAATTCCCTGGACTTCTGAGATGTTGCTCATACTCACAAAGACCTTGAAAGGCTGCAAGTATTATCTAGGATACTTATTTTAAGAGGAATTTCGGGGAATGCCATTAATGGATTTTTTTACAACTGCTTATTTGCTGAAGTAATGTTATGAAGATCACGCTCCAGTTTTATCCTGAAAGATGCTAACTCAGTGCTCCATGGCCTAGCTGAAAAGTTTCCTCAGGCTGAGGTGTAAACACTGTAATTTGTAACCTTGCCTTATTCTTGTAGCTCTTTACTTTTGGTAATGTCCAGGGACAGAAGCAAGCAAAGCTTGGTTGAGAGGATGTTACCTTTTGTTAGGACAAATGATATCAGGGGAAAAATAGACCCATAATAGGGCACATCAGCTCTCTGTCAATTTTTTCTCGTAAACTGTTTGAACCCAATGTATATCCTAATGGGCTGGTACAGCAACCAGTTGCTTCTTAAAGTAAGAAAGGATCCTTAAAATGTGTCATAGTTCCCTTATCCCTTAGAATTTTGTCAGTGTCAGGTGAAAGCAAGCACTTCATGGCAATCATTCATGTTAAGGTTCAATTGTTCTGAACAGTTTAGCTGTTGAAAGTTTTAAGTTTTAATTTCAGTATTAAGATGGATTTGTCTGCATCTGTACCCTCATGAGGAATTAGTCCTCTGTGTTCCCAAGTCTGAGTTGAAAAAAACCTTGTCAAAGTATTTCTTTATTTTCTTTAAACATTCATTAGGTGTTGAGGCAATTAAGCTTTAATTGAATAGGATGGTCGTCACAGAAAGTGAGAAAAAACAGAAGCAACGTTTTCTTTTATAGTCTAGACTAACATGAGTGCTTTATATTTCAAGTTCAGGAAATTGGATGCAGTGGTTTGGTAACCTATAAATAAGCGTAGATGTTTTAGTATCTTGTTTAACCATGATAAGAACTAAGAATAGTAGGCGGTTGTTGCTGTGTCCAGCATCAGTTTGTTGCTTCACTTGGGCTGGGGTGTGGGGACAGGATTGAGACTTGATTGTTTCTCTGGCTTGGAGAACCGGGCCATCCTCCATGAACTGTGTCTTGTATCCAAACTAGACAACTTGGGTGCTGGACATCTCTCCTGCTTTCTACAGAACCTGTTCCTCATCAGTCCAAATATAAAACATGGTGCACATGTCACAGTGCTGTCTTAATTGACTTTTGATGATAAAAACAGAAGGCAATGCCTTCTACTGAAACAAAAGAAAACAAAAGATGATAACTCCATAGTTTGTTATGAAGAAATTTTTGTGTAGTACCTATGCATGAAGTTCAAGCATGTGTTTGAGGGATCAAGTGTTACGTGTGCTACAGTAAATATCAAGGGAGCAAAAACAATCATAGATGGCAACTGTAGGGCAAGCTTGCGTGCAGCTCTCTCCTCAAACCAGTAAGACCTTCTTTTTCGTCAGTGGGCAGGTTATTTTCAGGCTTGTCCTCCTAATGGAGACCATTAATATCTGCTTTTAAGATGTTCAATTTGGACAAATTGGAAATGGGCTATCGATCAGTAGCTATCATCTTTTGGTCCTGTTTTTGTAGAGTGTTATGGCTGCAAATTTATAAAACAAAAGAGAAATTTACAATCCCTTTCAGTGCAACATTTTTACCTTTTAGTGCCCCTGTGTCAGGCCAGCATGTCGATAATCCTTAGAATATGAAAATCCGCAAGGCAGCACTAATAAATAATTTAGCTGTAATGACAGTTAAGTCATATGTCAGCAGACACATGATTCAGTATTGAGTTACCACCTTTTAATAGCAGCTTTCTTCTTGAGAAATACCATTTTCTGTATTAGTTGTCCGTGGGTGTAGAATTGTGGGATGTTGACAGTCTGCAAGTGTGTAGAGAACCTGAGGAGAGAGAAAAGCAATCCTTTAACATCTGCTTGTGTTTCAGATTTGCCGCAAGCTGAATGGTGTCCGTTTCACCTGTTGCAAAAGTGCCAAAGACCGGACATCCATGTCAGTGACACTGGAGCAGTGCTCCATCTTGAGGGATGAGCATCAGCTTCACAAAGATTTCTTTATTCGGGCACTGGATTGCATGAGAAGGTATGTGGAGAATTATTTTGTGTCCCTTGCGTTTTGAGCTGAGCCAGGAACTACACTGCAGAGCTGGCTAAAGCTAGTTGCAAGTGCGTGATAGGCCCTGGTCCTGGTTTAGCAGAGAACCAACCAGCAGCGTGCCAGCTACTGATTCACTTCTACATGCAAGGTCTTTTATGTTTTAACACTAATGAACAGTTTCTGAGATTTATACGTGAAACCCTGTGAAGTACCACTCCGCTGACTGTAGAATTTGACCGAGGTAAACAGCCATCATTTAACAACTGCTTAGACTCTCATAAAGCTTAAAATTTTAACAACATTCTGTGACTCTATATAAAAAAGTTATTTTCTGTTTTTTTATAATATTTTTCAAATGTTTATATACTAATTAAAATGTGCGTATAAAATTTAGACAACAATGTGGAAGCTGAATTAGCTTTTGTTACAGATGGCAATTCTCATTAGATCATGTTATTAAAAATAAAAGCAGGTTTGGATTCATGGTGATTGCCACTATTATTTGATAAAAATCTTTACTGTGCTAAAAAAAAATATTTCATTCTAAATTACAACTACGAAGAAACTAAGGCTGATATAGTCAGGAATGTGTAATTAGAAGATGTAAAGATTTTTGGTCATGTGAGCCTTTGAATAAAAAACAATTAAGCAAATGAGTTTTGATTATAAAATGAATCTAGGTGCTATATTCTCTAAAGAAACTGTTTCATTATTGGCATTAACAAATGTTGCATTATATATTCTGTAAGAGTTCAAGAGATTTATCCACAAGATTCAAGTAATATATAACAAAAGTCCCTACAAGACTAACAGAAAATATTCTGGTCAGCCTGCAAGGAAGTAATTGAATTATTTCTTGCACTTCTGTGAAATACACAATGCGATTGTGAGTTGGATTTGTAAAGATCATATCTGAGTACCAATCATGTTTAATGTCTTTAATTGATAGTTCTTGACCTTAATATTTGGTATTATCAGATTAATCTGTAGGTTTACACATGCAAAATCCTTCTGTCTTTTAACAAGGATAGGTATTCTAAAGGAAAAAAAAAAATGTAATTTTTGCAATGAGTAGTTGAGCAGAAGACTGAGATGGTTTAGAAGTGTAGTTATTTTGCAAGCTGCTAGTGCAGTGATGTATTAAACTGAGGTATCATTTTGTATGTATCATTAGCTTGCATAAATCCCTTAGTCTCTGCAGTATTTCAGTGAGTGAATGACTCCTGTGTGCCACCTTTCATAACTATATGTTTTATCATTAATGAAAAAATTCTTAGTTTTCTGTGTTGAGTTCCATTTTTGTTGGCATTTCAAATATGTTTTTTTCTTTTATGTCTCCAATAAATACAACAGCGTGTAAATTACAGTAAGTTACCAGATAGAAGCAAACTAATTATATGAAATACATTATTATGTAGAATAGCACTGGAAAAATTCCACAGATATAAACGTGATTTAAAAAAAAAAAAAAAAAAAGACCCTGATGTATTCCAGTACCTAAAGGGGGACTACAAGAAAGGAGGAGAGGGACTCATCGGGGAGTGTAGGGGATAATGGTTTTAAACTAAGAAAGGGTAGTTTTAGATTAGATATTAGGGAGTAATTGTTTACTCAGAGGGTGGTGAGGCCCTGGCACAGGCTGCCCAGAGGAGCTGTGGATGCCCCATCCCTGGAGGTGTTCAAGGCCAGGCTGGATGGGGCTTTGGGCAACCTGCTCTGGTGGGAGGTGTCCCTGCCCATGGCAGGGGGTTGGAACTGGTCGTCTTTAAGGTTCCTTCCAACCCAAACCATTCTGTGATTCTATGATACATACAAATTAACTTGTTAGTACAGAAGTATAGTAGCTTTTACAGGCTAAAATGTTAAGGACTTTACATGCTTTTTTATCACATAACTGATTTGAAAGCCGAGATGATTAACTCATTAGTTATATTTGCAGGTAAGAATAAATTGGAGTCTCAGAAGAACGGGGAAAAGTCCAGAAAATCTGGAGTAGCTTAAAAAGTAAATGAAAAGGTATAGGAGTCTGAAGCAACATGATAACAATGTTTGTTTTGGGGTTTTGCTCTAGTTTTAGGCAGATAAAAGCTTTATCTTGTTAATAACCTGCAAATGAATTTAAAACAGCCTTGAACTGAAGTAGCTGCTGCGTTGAATGAAAAGGAATAATTTTGACTTGGGTGGTAGAATTGTCCGGGATTTAAAGCAAGGCCTTGCAAGTAGCGGCAGTAGTACACAAGTTTATCCCGCACCATCAGCAAAACATATAAGTAAATCCTTTGCCTATTCTAGTCTCTGTCTGTATTGTACTGTGCACATAACCATAGGTTAAAAAAAATATTCAGAACAGAAGAATGAAAATGTCAGATGGGGATACACATGTTTAACTCCATCGTATTACCATTGAGAGTTTTTTGGACGGTTTTAAGGAGCTGGCTTTGGGCTTTTTTTTAATTATTTTTTAGAAATGTTTAAGGAATGCAGTAGTTACTGCATCTTCAGGAGGGCTCTTTGTGCCTTCCCACTACTTATCTGTGGCTGGAGGTGCTTATGAAGCAGCACTTGAAATGCTACAGGCTTTCCTTTCTGTTTCTCCCTCTCTACCACTGACTAGAGAGTGCAGCAAGGACCCTCCAGCTGTGCTCTCTTGTTGCAGGGAGGCGAAGGAAGGTGAGTGGCAGGGAAAAGCAATTTGAGAGAGCAAACTGGGAAGAAAAGAACAGTCAGGCAACAAGGAGGAAAAAGGCCATAATTTCCACAGGAAGAGATATAAAGGCATTTCAGCTAAATCTCCTGTATTTTATTTGAGGGAAGTTTGGCAGCTATGATTCTGAGGTTTGTGTGAGTAAGGTCAATGGATTTGTTTGTTACTTGTTGTAATGCTTGCCTTTTTAACCTTTCTTTTTGTTTGATTACCATTGCAATCTTATTTAAAACTGTTTTTCTAAGCTTTTCATTGACTATTTGTAGAAGCTTTTAGAATGATTTTCCACATCTAAAAGAATACATTTTGTTTTGAGAGGAGATGGAGAAAAACTGTGGTCACCTTTTAGTTTCTAATGTATGCAGTTTTCCCCAGATGAATCTCCTCTAGATCACTTTGCTAAACTCTGTCAATCAACTTCCTTTATGCTGATTGCTGCAAATCACTTTTAAGCCTTTCAAAAGAACAAGTAGAAAAGAAAAAATCAATTTTAGCATCCAGAATCCTAACAGACTGGATTGATCTTTGATGGGCTTCTTTCAAGAATTAACAGTAGGAGATACAGAGTACAGTGAAACAAAGTTAGTTGTAAAAGCAAATGGAGATTCAAAAGCAGCCTTTATTGGAAATGCCATAATTTTGAGATATGAAAATTATAAAGGTGCCTGTGTAACTGTAAAGCTTTTCTTTTTTCCTGCCAGTGCTGTGCACAGCTTTGGGGCCTGTTGTAAAAGGGAAGCATGTGCTGCTGGTTTTGTGCATTCTTGACATCAGGAGAAGTTTGGTGATGCTGGACTTGTGTGCTGCTGTTTTTTGGCTTTGCTGTTGTCCCTGTAAGCCTGTGTATTTTGAGTAAACCAGAAGCAATTTAAGATGTTTCGGTTTGTTTTCATGTCCGTTGTATGATGCTGTTTAAGAAAATACTGCCAGTACTTCTTATTTAGTGAACAAATTCATTAGCACAGTTCATGTCTTGTACTGATCAACTGTATGGAGTTTATTGCCTTTTTAACAACAACAAAAAAAAAAAGGTGCAAAAATCCTTCCAATAGTTGTCCCTTTAGCTTATGAAGAATGTGAAATGATGCTAGGAAGTCAGGCTTTATCACTTAGAATATCTGAAATATGGTTTTGTCTTCTGGGTGCAACTGTAGGCATTATGATGCTACAGTTCCAGTGTGTGTAAAACCAGAGGCAGCTATTCCATAGTGATACACACTATAATTTGCTTTGTGTGTGTTTGTGACTTTCATTGATCTTAGTGACATTCATATTACAGAATGAGGGAGATCAATATATGTTATTTTTTCTTTATCAAATGCTTGCAATTCATGTCATACTGAAATCGTATTTTTAATGTTGCTGCCACTTTCAAATCATCATTTTTTGCAGTCAATATTTTGTTTTTCCATTCACCAATGTACAAATATTTCCTGTCATTTAATGTCAACTGTATTCCAGAAGACAGAAAAGAGACAAAACAAATGGTCCAGAGTTCACTACAGTATCTGTCACACAATTCTACTTTTCTTCCTTAGAGCTGGCCACTGCTTAAGGAGCCTTGGACCCTGGTAGGCAGCACATTACAAAGCAGTTTCATAAAATGTTTTTCTTTTCCAAACCTATTGAATGTTAATATCTTGGTGACAGGGTCTGTTTTGAAGTCCTTGGGTAGCAAATAACCTCAGAATCTTCTGGGTTTTTGAGCGCATTTCCAATAATGCCTTAAAAGTAAAACCAAGCAAATGATGTGACAAATCCCCTGTGTACGGTGAAGTCTCCAAGCTTTCATCCATCCCTGTCATAATTCTTAGCAGGGCACGATACCTGTCAGGCATTGAATACAAAATTTGACTCAACGTAGGGCACACTGTTTCCATCTGAAATGCCAGCCAAGGATATTTCAGATTATCTCAGATAAATTGCCAATCAAAAATCTGATTGAAGTGCAAATACAAAGAATGAATGGTCTGGGCCATGAGGTATGGACTTTTGATGGCCTAGTTATGAAGCAAATTGCTCCTTTTTAAACAGGTGTTTGAGTGCACCTTTTCTTAAAGATCATATTAAAGACGTGTGAGTTGAGAAGGAGGGACAGCTGTAACAGCCTGCATGTGATCTGGGTGAAAGCCATAGGTCCAAGCAGAGAGACCTTTGCCATGCAAGGGCGTATGCCAAACAGCATTGTGACTCCTATGGTCTAGGAAGCAGGAGCAAAGTGACAGGATGAGAGGCTGGGATCCATGTGCAGACCTTCCTTGACCTTTCTCCAAGCCTTCCC